GGGGGGACTAGCTTCCGTCTTCTGGGATTGTATAATTACTTCCTGCCAGACCCAAGGCAGGAGCTCCTTGTTGGGGAAGGGTACCCTTAAGTAATGGGGACCTGGGAACACAAAGCAACCACAGGGCCTGAGAAGGAGCCACTGAGTCTCCAGCTCACACACGGAGGCTCCAAAACACATCAGCCCACCTGCCCAGGGGCAGATTCATCTGTAGTGAACAATTTCACATTTTTTTCACCACACCAAAGATTCTGCTTCTAAGTATGGCTGGTATCTGTCTCTCTCCCAACCCCACAGAACCTTCCTACAGAATCAAAGCCTCTTTTCAAATTTACAATCCCTGACAGGGGCAGATGAGCCAGCAAGCAAGGTAAGCACAGGCTTACTTGTGCTTACTTACTAATCTGTAGTGCATTGCAGATTAGTAAGTAAGCACAAGTAAACCCATGCTTACCTTGCTGACTTGGTCATCCACTCCTGCTGACCTGCCCCCACCTCCAGCTAGCTAAACAGTTAAATATCGAGCTTAAAGAACATGAGTCCGTATTATTGGCCCCACTCCCCAAACAGTTGTTCCAAGCTCAAGCAGTCAAATGTTTGGGTCAGGGTTTCGGGAGAGCAGCATACCTGATCCAGTCAGCAGGCCTGATCCGGAATTACCTTTGCATCCGTGTAAGCAACAAAACAAAGGGATGTTTCTCATCTCTCTGAAACCTGTTCCCATCTCTGACCACTAGGGGGCGGGCCTGAATTTTGGAAGATTGCGGTCACTTGGGCCACCGTTCCACAGCTGAGGATAGCATAGCAAGGGTCGACGCAAACCTGAATTTAAAGTCTGATGCTGGCATTCAGAAGAGACCAAATGAGCTGTTGGGATGAAAGGTGAAAAGGCAGGGCAGTGGTGATTCCCAGAAAGGACTGCAGGCAGGGATTTTTCCCCTCAGACTCGCCCGCTGAAGAGAGAGGAGGCAGCCTGGGGAATAGGCCATTGCTTGGCCTCCTGCTTACCAAATGCACTGCGGTAGGCGGAGCTGTTGATCTTGATCCCGCTACAGAGGATCACCAGGTTGGTGGCCACCTCCGTGCCTTTGTCTGTCTGCACTTTGATGTAATCTCGGCACACATTGACAGGCAGTTCCTCCAGGTTGCTCACCCGCTCACCTGTCACGTGGGCAGGGGAGTTCCATGACTAGGAGCCCAGCAGAGGGTGGGCACTGCACCAAGGCCAGGCCCACACCAAGATTGAGCCTGGGGAAGGCTACACCCCATGGCCCAACTGGGACATTACTCCATTCCTCTCCTCCCACCATGCCCCTCCCCTAGTCCACTCTCCTGCCCCGAGAAGCGCATGCTGGACATCTGGCCCCGAGGGACCCAGTTGGAGGAAAGTTCTAAGAAGAATTTGGGGAAGTGAGTCTGAGTTTCCCAAGAAGTTCTGGGAAAAGCTATTCAAAACAAGACCTCAAATACACCTCTCTGGCTGACAACTATACCATCCAAACTAGGCAGGACAAGAGTTCCAAGTACACCAATGACAAAGCTGAAAGCAAGAACAGTCAGAGAAGCCAACTTACGACACTAGCTGCCTGAAAGTAAAGATGGTAACAGTATTACACAACCAGGTACCAAAAGGAGGCTGGGAGCCATGATGGACATCTCAGATCAAACACCTCAACTCCTGCCCTGTTAAAAATGAGGAGGCTCAGGCCCAGTGTGGTGAAGTGTGGGTCACTTCATCAGGATTAGCGCCCCACTCTAAAATGCTGGGTGGTTCTCTGCCCCCTTGCTCTGGACAAATGTCACATTCCTCACCACCCTAAAAATATAAACCATTAAATCTATTGCCTCTACCACAGAGACAACATAATTCAGGTCGAATTCCTTTTTTTTTTTTATTGTACTTTAGAAGAAGGTTTACAGAATAAATAGTTTCTCATTAAACAGTACACATACTGTTTTATGACACTGGTTAACAACCCCATGACATGTCAACACTCTCCCTTCTCGACCTTGGGTTCCTTATTACCAGCTTTCCTATCCCCTCCTGCCTTCTAGTCCTTGTCCCTGGGCTGTTGTGCCCCATTAGTCTCTTTTTGTTTTATGGGGCTGTCTAATCTTTGGCTGAACGGTGAACCTCAGGAGTGACTTCATTACTAAGCTAAAAGGGTATCCGGGGGCCATACTCTTGGAGTTTCTCCAGTCTCTGTCAGGCCAGTAAGTCTGGTCTTTTTTTGTGAGTTAGAATTTTGTTCTACATTTTTCTCCAGCTCTGTCCAGGACCCTCTGTTGTGATCCCTGTCAGAGCAGTCAGTGGTGGTAGCTGGGTACCATCTAGATATACTGGACTCAGCCTGGTGGTGGCCATGGTAGTTGTGGTCCATTAGTCCTTTGGACTAATCTTTCCCTTGTATCTTGTTTTCTTTATTCTCCCCTGCTCTCAAAGGGGTGAGACCAGTGGAGTATCTTAGATGGCTGCTCACATGCTTTTAAGACCCCAGACACTACTCACCAAGGTAGAATGTAGAACATTTTCTTTATAAACTATGTTATGCCAATTAAGCTAGATGTTCCCCAAGACCATGGTCCCCACAGCCCTCAGCCCAGCAATTTGTGCCCTCAGGGAATTTGGACCAGGTCAAATCCTTTAGGTGCGTTTTTTAAATCATTTAAAAAATAAGCATCCCACCATCTACTGCAGTGCATACAAATCGATAGCCAGGAAATTGCTGCCAGACTTTGATGCTTGTTATGGATTGAACTGTGTCCCCTAAAAATGTGTATCGAAGTCCTGGCCCCTGTACCTGTGAATATGACACTGCTTGGAAATAAGGGTTTTCTTTGGTTATGTTAATGGTATCATGCCCAAGTAGGGGGGGTCCTAAACCTAATCACTTCTGAGTTATAAAAAAAGCAGAACAGACACGGGGACACATACTGGAGAAGAGAGACGCCAAGGGAGGATGCGTCTACAAACAAAGGAACACGAAAGATTGCGAGCAGACACCAGAAAATAGGAGAGAGGCTCACAGAAGGAATTGACATGGCCAAGACCCTGGTTTGGACTTTTAGCCTCCAAAACTGTGAGAAAATAAATTTCAGTTCTTTAAAGCCACCCACTTGTGGTATCTTTTGTTACAGAGCACTAGGTAACTAAGACAATGCTCAAGATGGTTTCTGAGGTGCTTCATGCTCAACCCCAGGATACAGTAGAAAACCAAGATCCTGGGGTTGACCACGACACCCTCAAGCTGAAAGCAGTGACCAATCTGTGGAGCCAAATCTCACCAGGCCAGAGAGAGGGGCAGGGAGGGAGGTGAAGATGCACCTACTCAGCAGCAGCTGCACGCCTTTCCGGAGAAGGATCTCCTTCACTTCCTGCCGGACACAAGGCAGGAGCTCCTTGTCAGCAAGGACTGCTTGGGAGTGAATGAGAGTGACCTGGGACAAAACAAGCACAAGGACTGGGAAAGAGTCACTGGGTTATATGCAGAGGCTGCAAAACACATCAGCCCACCTCCCCTGCCCCACCTCCAGTTTACAGATGAGGAAACTAAGGCCCCAGAGAAGAAACTTGCCCAATGCTAGAGACAAGTAGTGGTGAGCCCACGTCTTCCAATGCCTAGTCTGGGATTTTCGGCTCTATCCTGCCACCCCAGAGCCAGAAGACCACCAAAATGCCAATGCTCTACAACCCATACCTGTGGCCACTTGGAAAATTATTTTCAAGCATCCTTGGGCACTTATCACTAAACAATTTATATACAAGCCACTGACATTCTAAATACAAATCGGGCTGACGTTAACATTAAAGCTGGTTCTAAAATTAGCATCTCCAGACATGTCTCTACTGGCTGTCTGGGTCAGCACAGGGAAGTGGGAGGCAGCCTGGAATAACGTGCAAAGCTTGGGCTTTGGAATCAGGCTGCCTGGATTGAAATCCCTCCTCTGGTACTCAGTCAGAAACTCCCAAAGCCTCAGTTACATCCCTGTAAAACAGGGAGCACAGTCCCACTCATAAGTACTTCGTAATGACAAAACATGTATAAAGCTCGTAACTCAGCACACATTAAGTTCTCAGTAAAGGTTGGCTACTATTGATCTAAGGAGCCCTGGTGGCACAGTGGTTAAGCGCTCAGCTGCTAACCACAAGGTCGGTAGTTCGAACTCACCAGCTGCTCCACAGGAGAGAGATGTGGCAGTCTGCTTCCATGAAGATTTACAGCCTTGGAAACCCTATGAGGCTGTTCTACTCTGTCCTATAGGGTCACTATGAGCCAGAATTCACTCAACAGCAACGGGTTTGGTTTTGGTTTACTATCGATCTTATTAGTCTATTAATTATAAGCATATAGAAAGTATACTGAGTTACTTGAAATTATACACTGCTTCAGACTGGTCTTTAAGCCCATAAATCAAAATGAATAAACTTAATTATATCAATCACTCATAATAATTTCCAACCAATTATCAGACAAGTCACATAATTAAATCAGCCCCTACTGATTTTTCGTTTCAAAACCAACCTTCCGTTCCGTAGAGGAAAAGAACCATCCACAGGCTCCGTGGAGCCCCCAGAAGCTGATCTGGCATCAACTGCGAGCAAACTCTTGCCTAAAAAAAATCCGTTGCCATCAAGTAGATTCCAACTCATAGCAACCCTATGGGACAGAGTAAAACCGCCCCATAGGGTTTCCAAGGCTGTAAATCTTTACAGAGGCAGACTGCCACATCTTTCTCCATGGAGCGGCTGGTGGGTTTGAACCACCAACCTTTCAGTTAGCAGCCGAGCCTAGAGGCCTCTTAGCTCCTGCCTAGAGGCTCCATAATTACTGATCGTCACTCAGCCCTCGGCCAAGCCTTACCACTAGGCCAGGATTTTCTCTTTCCCTCCAGGGGTGCCAGGCAGGTTCTCCATCCCTCCAGTGTTAGAAGGGACCAGGACAGGCCCATGGCACCCTCTGTGGGCAGGAGGCAGTACCGGCCAGCCCTTCCCTAGCATGAGCGCTCAAGGGGCTGACTGCAGGCTCTCCATATTTCCACGGTGTGGGGACCACGGTGTGGCTCCAGAGCAAGGGCTACAGTCCGAGGCTATAGAACAAAAAGACCAAAAAGGCCAGAGCCTGCCCCAGAAAAATAACCAACTGAGGGTGTCTTTGTCCAGGCTGGTGGTCAGCAAGGAGAAGTAATCAGATACTGTATCTACTACAAAGTCGATTCCAACTCATGGCAACCTCATGTATTACAGAGAACTGTTCCTCACGGCAACCTCATGCATTACAGAAGAGAACTGTTCCAATGGGTTTTCTTGGCTGTAATGCCCTGGTAGCGCAATGGTTAAGCACTCAGCTGTTAACTGAAAATCGGCAGATCAAACCTACCCAGCAGCTCCACAGGAGAAAGACCTGGAGATCTACTCCTGTAAAGATTACAGCCTAGAAAACCCTATGGGCAGTTCTACTCTGTCACATAGGGTCGCCCAAAATCAACTCAAAGGCACCTAACGATAACGATCTTTATGAAAGCAGATTGCCAGACCTTTCTTCTGCAGCACTGCTGGGTGGGTTCAAACCACCAACCTTTTCGTTAGTATTCAAGGACAAATCATTTGCACCACCAAGGGACCTCACTGAAGGGGATAGGGAATTATAAGCATGTCTTTGTTCTTTATGCCTGCTTGCCTCTGGGTATCTCCCTGAACTTTATCCTCCAGCTGGAGCACAGAGGGCAGGACCTCTCACTGAACTAGGCTACACCCAGAGCTGCTTGGTTCTCTACGTGCACTTCAGATGCAGGGGGTTCCTGGGTCTCCCAGAAAAATTCCCTGCGGAATCACACTTTAGGGAATTCCCCAGTGTAGAGAGAGAGCAGACTGGACAAACACACTCCACATTATGTCAACGGGCCTCCCGCCTCCCGGGCCCTGAGCAAGCTCCTGAGGTTCATTAGAAAGTGAAGATGAGGTAGAAAGAAGCCAACCACTTAGAGTTCAAGGCCAAGGCCCGTCGCCCCCACCTCTTTCTGGGGATACTCTGTTTTAATCTCTGCTGCCATCTCCACTCCTGCAGAGCCTCCTCCCACCACCACGATGAACAGTGAGCTCTGGACCTGGGCAAGGAGAAGGAAATGTCAAACACGCCCACAAACCCACCCCCTGCTTCGTGGGTCAGCCTGGGTTGTGGGTTCCTTGGCCAAACAAGAGCAGAGAACACACAACTCCCTTTCCAAATGCAGGCTCCAAATCTGAGTGCTTCCTCAGGGCTAGGCATATGTGAGGTATTTCCCCTGAATCTTCCTACTCAATCCTCACAACCGCCCCATGTGAAGATTTTCTTACTAGCCCACCTTACAGACAGGCACGACCCAGGTCTGAGTCCAAAGCCAGGTTCCTCACCTCCACACTAATGTCTGCTCATCACTGCACCAAGGCTCTCTGGGCCTCTCAGAAGCTTTGCAGAGAGACTTAGCCGTCACCCCTTAACAGCACGCACCTTGGGATCTTCTTCTGGGTAGCCATTCCTCACCTGTTAAATGGTGACAGCAGACCCTGCCCCACCTACCTCTCAGGACTGCTGGAAACTGACTGAGATCAGAGATACCAGCCTGTTCTAAAAACACAACCCTGCTCACACGGGAGGTACTGTGCACATGAAAATCCCCAAGAGAGACGAGTCTGGGATGGGGACAGCCTATCAGCAACATGAGTGGCTCTGGGGACTCATTTCCAGGCTCTGATGACAGGTCCAAGGGTCCTCTTACAGGAAGTCTCTTCCTCATAACTGCTGTCACCACAGCTGCCTGCCTCTCCCAGCTTTCCCGCTCTCCCAGGGGGCCCACCTGGTCTGCCCCCACCCCTAGTCAGCTGGCCAGCTCACCTGCTTCACTAGGTCCTCGTAGGCCTGGATGGCGGCCTCCTGGCTGGAGACCTGGTTAAACTTGCCGGGGAAGGGCCCAGTGCTGCCTGTGGCCAGGATAAGATGTGAGAAGGGCAGAGCCTACAAGGACAAGGAGAAGAAAGGTGAGGGTAGGACAGGGCAAGGAAGGCCTGGGCTTCTGCCCCCAAACCAGCCCCCCACCAGTCAAGGAGCACCAGGCGGAAGCGGCCGCTCTGGGCACACTGGGGCAGCTCTGGGTTTGAGGGGAGTAAAACTGCCCAATTGGTTAGGCCAAGGGATGCCACTGCAACCTGGGAACTCCCTAAGGGAGCGGATCATAGCTCCTGCATGGGAGGACTCCTGAGTGACCAGAACCATTCCACACAAACAGGGAGGGTGAGCTCCCCACAGCCAGACGCAGGGAAGCAGGAAATGCAAACAGCTTGCTGGGAATAAGCAGGATTCTAGCTCCCAAAGTGGAGTTAGTTTAGAATCTCCTGGATATTTTAGAAGAACCTTTCCCCCCACCTGCCCCCAACACTTCCCTCCCCCTCAAAAAAGAAATCTTGTTTGGAGTTGAAATACAGAAAGCTGATCAAAACAGAGCTGTTCCAATAGAGGGGGCAGGAGGTTCTTGATCGACTCAGCCCCTACGTCCCCTGGAGGCCTGAGAAGCATTCCCAGACACCGCCACTCAGGGCTCTGAGACGCAGGCCGGAAACCACATGACAGGAGACTCTCAGGAAACTTTTCAGCCAGGAGACTGTCCGGCCGGAAAATTAAATTCAAGGAGGATGGATTCACACTAAATTGCATACTCATTAAGGGGAGGAATTATCTCCTCTTTTTCAATTCCCCTTAGCTCTGAATGCAGTCAGGGGCCGGGCCTGGAGTTGACTCTCAGTGGGGTGTGTGGGTTGGTGGTAGCTCACTGATGACGTTCCAGTCAGTTGAAGTAGGATGCACCAGGCCCTGTGCCATACACAGGGTCCCTCAGTGGCGCAAATGTTTTGCACTCAACTTCTAACCTAAAGTTTGGCGGTTGGAACCCACCCAGCGGTGCTGTGGAAGAAAGGCCTGGCAATCTGCTGCCATAAAGATCACAGCCAAGAAAACCCAATGGGGCTACAGTTCTACTCTGTAACACATGGGGTCGTCATGAGTCATAATCAACTCAACAGCAGTGGGTTTGGTTTTGGTTTGGTGCCATATGCCGGGGGCAATAAATACAAACATGTATGAAGAAAAACCTCTGCCGCCATCAGCCTACAGTCCAGGGGATGTGAGATCACACAGGTTTGGCCATCATCTAACATTTGATCCTAGACAGTGAGGAGGAAGCCTCTGGGCTGGTCAGGCCTGGTGCTGGTCCAGGACAGTGGCTTTTAGAGCCTAAGCTCTGGGGTGAAACTGCCTGGGTTCAAATCCTGGCTTAGTCTCTTACCAGCTATGTGACCTTGGCTAAGCTGTTCAACCTCTCAGTAAAATGAGGTTACACACCTACCTCATAGTCATGGTGAACGCTAAATGAAATGTATATAAAGGTTTAGAACAGTGCATGGCACACAGGAAAGGCTCATGAAATATCTGCCACCACATTGTTGTGGCTGCTGTGGTCAAGTCTTTGTTTATGGAGAATCTGCAATCTGCCTAGCCCCGGGCTTGGGCCTGGGGTCACAGATGACTCTGTCTCTCTCCTGAACAACCAGCAGCGTGTCCTCTAGAAGCCCTGAGGCCAGCCGGTGGACCCGTCAGCCTCCCGTGGTGCTTACCTCACCGCCCTTCAGCTGCACCATCTGATTCTTCAGGTCTATCCCGACCACCATGGCCTGCCGGAAATTGTCCTTGAAGGTCTCTGAGTAGGAAATGAATGTCTTCTTGGCAAACCCTGGGAGATAGACACAGAAAAGGTCACAGTGCAGATCTGGGGCTGCCTAGCGGAAGCCAGAACAGCCAGAACCTTTCCTCCGCTACATGTCAATGGGTGTGCCCTGGGCCAATCAGCTGCCACCCCTCCCCCTAAAGTGCCAGCCTGGGCCTTAAGCCCTCAGAGAAGCTCAAGTTTACCTCTGGGGCCTCTTTATGGTGGCTTCTTAGAGGGTAGTGACCTCAAGATTCTCTGGAATTTGCCTAATGGTGCAATTTTAGTAGAGAAAACTGTTCCCAGCCCATGAAATCACACCCCATGGACCAGGACAAGACCACTCTCCCAAAGAAAGGCCTAGAAAGGGAAAACATTACCACTCTCCACGGAGGCCCGGAGGGCTGCCACGTTGTGGTGGAAGGAGTCCTTCATGTCCACAAGCGTGAAGGGAACGTTGAGTGCTTGGAGCTGACTGGCAGCTGCTATTCCGCCGAAGCCCCCACCCACGATCACCACGTGCATTGATCCCACATCCACTGAGACCTGGGACCCCATCTTGAACCAGGGACTGCTGAGACAGTAGGGGAGACCACATCAGAGTCAGCGGGGACAGAGAGGGCTGGGAGGGGAGGGGTGGACCCACAACAAGAAAGGCTTCGAATGCCAAGGCTTGGCCTTTTTAAATTATATAATCGTTTATTAATGAAATTTCAATTTTGTAAAATCTGAATTAAATTCAGAAGGAACAAGGGATCCTATTTCCACACCACCCAGGGGAAGTTCTCCAGAGGCACCCACTGTTACCAATTTCTTATGAATCCTTCCAGAAATATTCTGTGCTCCTTCAATCATGATTATTTTTTGCACATATTAAACAAACTGTTCTGTGCTTTTTCTTTTTCACTTAATATACTTCATCGAAGACTTTTAAAGAGGTGAATAACATTTACTCAACAACAAACATTTACAGAGTTTCTACCCTCTGACATGCTCTATGCTACAGATCCTACAGTCAGAAAGACAGGCAGATATATGGTCTCTGCCCTGATAAAGGCGGAGAGTGCACACTCAAAAGATCAGGTTGTGGTGGTTCGTTTTATGTGTCAACTTGGCTAGGCTGTATCGTTGTTGTTGTGTGCCAGTGAGTCAATTCTGACTCACAGCAGCCCTACAGGACACAGTAGAACAATCCCATAGGGTTTCCTAGGGAGCAGATCGCCAGGTCTTCTCTCCCACACAGCTGCTGGTGGATTCAAACTGCCGACCTTTCAGTTAGTAGCCAAGCACTTAACTGTTGCACCACCAGGGCTCCTTGGCTAGGCTATGGTACTCAGTTACTTAATCAAACTCTAATCTAGGTGTTGCTGTGAAGGTATTCTGTAGATGTGGCTAAGTAACATCTACAATCAGCTGACTTTAAGTAAAGGAGATGACCCTCCATAATGTCGATGGGCCTCATCCAATCAGTCGAAGGCCTTAAGAGCAAAAACTGGAGTTTTCTGGAGAAGTTCTGTCTCAAGACTGCAGCCTTAATGCCAACTGAGTTTCCAGCCTGCTGCCTGCCTACAGATTTCAGACTTGCCCTACCATCGAATAAGCCAATACCTTAAAATAAATCTCGAGAGAGAGAGTGTGTGTGTGTGTACGTGTGTCTGTCGGGGGGTGGGTGGGCGGGGGGGGTCCTACTGGTTTTACTTCTCTGGAGAACCCGACAGGTGGGTCATGTAAATGTGGGACAGCTGAGCAGGTGTACAATCACAAGAACTGGCACCACACCTGTGGAGAACTAAAGCGCAGATGCCCCAGTCTAAAGGAACACAAACAAATTCTTCAAACACTGCCCGAGCCAAATCTTGCCCCAGATTCTGCCCAGCCCTGAAGTCACCAGTGTGAGCTGGCTCTATGGAGATCAATTAGCAGGTTATTACAATCATCCTGCAAAAGAGGGTGTGGTATGATCGAAGGCGGTGGCGGTGGGGGAGAAGGGGGCTGCAGGGAGGTCACTGCTGCATTCCTGGGACTGCATATGCACACGGGGACGGGGACAAGGCACTGTGGGGGGGGGGCACCCCCACGAGATAAGGGGCAGGAAGAAACATCTGCTGGGGGAAGAAACAGTGCTAGTTATGGACATGAAGGCACGTCTGCTGGTCAGCGAGAGGGTGAGGAGAGGCAAGGATCAGGGCAGGCTTCAAGGTGAGAGGTGGGAGCAAGGTCCTGCTCCACCCCGGGGCTGGGGCGCAGTCATCTGATGGTAGTCTGCAGAGGGTGGAGGGGCGGCTCAAGGCACCCCAAGCTCGGGTCAGCTGGCAGCCTGACCAGTTCCCAGCCAACTAAGAACGTTGGTTGAGTTTCTACGGAGCAAAACTTCAAGAACCCTCGGCTCTGAGCGAAGCCAGAGGACATGAGGCTGAGGAAAGAACTGTGCGGAACCACTGGGCAGACGTAAAAGTACAAGGGAGCCAAGTTTGCCTAGGCTCCCCAGGCAGCCTGAACTTAGGGACTGGGTCCTCTGCTGTACCCCAATCTGCCAAGGGGCTGGCCTGGGGCTGCCACCAGGAGCCTGGTTTCCAGCCCAGCATAGCCCTAAAGGACATTAGGGTGTGGCTGCAGAAGGCAGAGGGCACTCAGGTGCAGAGGGGCCGCCTGCCAGTTAAGAAGCCATCCTGACCACAGGTGAGATCCTAGAGCAGCTGGGGGGTGTTGGGGGATGCTGGCTCAGGGTAACTGGCCTGTTGGGGAAGGCTGGCTGGGGGCCTGTGCCAGGCCCCAAGCAGAGGCAGGGGTGAACCAGCGGCAGGGAGAGCCGGTAAGGAAAGAAACAAAGCTCACTACACGGAAAACATGAGACAGCCCCAAGCAGCAGCTGTGGGCTTCAGTGAAGTAGGGGAGGTCACTCGGGGGACAGAAGTGGGTGTCATGGCAGGAGGACGCGGACTCTGACGTCAGCCTTGAAGGACAGGAAGCTGCCAAAAGGCACAATGGGGAGCACATTCCAGCTGACCTGAACGGAGGGGGGGGGCAGTATACAGAGGCCTTCCTTCCTACATCACCTGTGTGGCCTCCAATGCACTGAGGCTTGTGCATTCCACCCATTTTACAGATGAGGAAACTGAGCCCTCAGCAAGGCTGGGACTGACAAATACCCCAGCAGGCAGTGTCACCTTCACTGTTGCAGGCCCTCAATAGGATTGTCCAGAGCTGATCCCGAGTGTCTGCCAGGCTGAACCTGCCAACGGGGCCACAAGGACTATCTCCTGGGGGACAGGACCCAGGAGAGCCCAGAGGCCTGACCAGAGGTCAGGAGAGTGGACACCAGGGGCTGAGCAGGGCCTGGGAGCATGGGAGGTGATGAGGCGGGCTGTGGGAGGGGGGCATTTGCCTGCCCCTTCAGCACAACCCCTTCAAGCTGGCAGCGGTGAGGGAGTCAAGAAAATACACAGAGAGCCCCACTGGCTGGGTACAGGCCCTGAGAGGGGTTTACACAGCTCAAGATCAGGGCTCCACTGTGGGTCAGGTCACACTGGACTGCTAAGGGAAGCTTGAAAATGAAGTGACCTGGGGTCAGGGGCTTCTCAGCAGACAAAACAGCTGAGACCAGAGGCCCAGTGGCAAGGAGGGAAGGGGTGGGAAAAATGCGGGGAACGGGGGCAGAAAGGTGGGGAGGGCAGGAGGGCAGGTGAGAGAGGCCAGCACAGACATCACCCCAGGGCAGCATTTAGGCCTACACACCCGCCAGCTCTGAAGACCAGGTGGGCAGACAAGCCCTTTCCTGGGAAGAGAGAAAGCCCAAAGACCCCTGGGCAGGCTTGATGGGCAGTGGGTTGACCCAGCCCCCCAGGATCATGACCTGACTCTCCCATAGGACAAACTCTTCCCTCACCCAACTAGGAGCGCCTCTCAGTGAAGGCAGGCATGTGTTGGGTCTGAGGCCTGAGGGCACCCAGGCCCATGTGGGGGCTGCAGAGGCAGAGCCAGGAGAGGGGAGGTAGCTTTACACACCGAGCTGCCTGAGGCCTCTCCTTGGAATCTGCTCTTCTCTCTCCTCTACTGACCTATGACACCCTCAGGTAGGGTGTGCAGAAGCCAGCAATTCTCCAGCCAAAGTCCACCCTTCCTCATCAGCAGCTTCCCTCGCCCAATATTCGCACATCATCTCTCCCTTGGCTGTGCGGGCAGCTCTCCAATGCCATTCTTGCCTAGCCTCCAAGGACAGCTGGACTCCCCTCTGCTCAGCCAGAGTCCCAAACTGTGAGCTTAAGCCATGGACCTGCACTCCCAGCCACACACCCTATAGGTGCTTAAAAAGTGTGTGTGGCCAGAAGAAATGGATGGAGCCCGGCTACCATTACTCAATGTTTTGATCAAAGATTCTGTAGAAGAATCTTTGATCAAAAGAGGAAAAAATGTGGAACAGATTTTCAGTTCTCATGGAATCCAGACTTTCTGGAGCCATTGAGGCTGGATAAACCCCCGAAACTACTGCCCAGAGATAATCTTTAACCCTGAAATCATAAATCAAAAATATCCCCTGAAGCCTTCCTTAAACCTAACAACGGTCTAGCTTAACTAGTGAAGAATACCTGCCATGAGCTTTGCGCTCTTTTAAAAAACTTACTATATGGGATCAAATTATGAACAGCAACTCAAAAGGTTGGACAGAAAGCTTAGAAGGAAGTGAATTTACATCAATAAGGGAGAAACAAAATGAAAAAGGAGGGTGAGAATGGCTGCACAATTTGAAGAATGTAATCAATGTCACTGCATTGTACACGTAGAAATTGTTGAATTGGTGTATGTTCTGCTGTGTGTATTTTCAACAATTTTTTTTTTAAAAAGTGTATGGAATGGAATTATATGTGAAAACATAGTAGTGTTGGGTAAACAACCTCAACGTCCATCCATAGGAGACAACAGGATAAAAAGATACACCCATACAATGGAATATTCTGTAGCCATTAATTTATAAAGGATGGATGGTTTTCTTTTCTCCTCTCTTGGATGATTTCTTTTTTACATGAATAGTTTATCTATGAAAAGGTCAGGCATCAGAGCAGCATGTAGAGCCTAATCCCACTTATAGCCAATCAGACACAAACACTAACTACACATACACACGTCATGTAATCATTACACTAGCTAGCACACACTGGGCTCTGGCACATAGCTTCAGACTTAATAGGCATGGGCTTTCCTCCCCACTTTGGGAAGAAGTTCAGTAACTTCTTTCATTCCAAGTTCATTCCTCAACAGTCTAACTTGACCTGCACTATGAACCAAAATGCTAAAGTGGTCACCAAGTAATATTTGTATTTTATTCTTTGAGCTTTTTTGTACTGTTTGAATTTTTTAAATGAGTTTGTGACACTTTTACAGAAACAATAAAGCTTTAAAAACAAGCAAAGCCTCATGCTATCTGATTTTTTTTAACTGAGCTATAATTCACATACCATAAAATTCACCATTTGATAGTGTACACTTGAGTGGTTTTTAGTATATTTACCAGGTTGTGCAACAATCACCACTATCTAATTCCAAACATTTTCATCACCCCAAAAGGAAACCCCATTAGTAGTCGCTCCCTATTCCCTCATCCCTCCAACTCCTGGAAACCACTAATCTACCTTCTGTCTCTGTGGATTTGCCTATTCTGGACATTTCCTATAAATAAATCCATATAATATACAGCCTTGTGTCTGACTTAGTATTTCACTCAGCATAATATTTTCAAGGTGCATCCATATTGTAGCATGCCCCAGTACCTCATTCCTTTTTATGGCTAAATAATATTGCAGCACGTCTCAGTATTTCCTTCCTTTTTATGGCTGAATAATATTGCACTGTATGGACGTACCATATTCATCACTTGAAGGACATTTGGGTATACATACCTAGGAGTGAAACTGCTGGCTCATAAACTCTATGTTTAACTTTTTGAGAAACTGCCAAACACACCATCTGATTTTCAACTGACCATCCAAGCCCAGGGAGGAAGCACAGAGAACCTCAACTATTATCCTCTCTGCCTAGATCCAGGAAGGTCAGCTGAAAAGAAGGCCTGATCGTCCCTAACTGTCCAGCAACTCCGAAGAATTTTAACTTTACTCGCCGCCCCCCACCCCATCACCACCACCACCAACACATACACGCACACAATCTGGTTTACACTTTAATTTGCTCAGTAAATCCTGTTTTCTCTGCCAAGGACACTGAACCCAGGAGGATCTTTCACAAGTCACAATAAGCGGAATGGAGACTGTAGAAGCTCTGAGCTAACAATACAGACCAAGGGCCTTGAAGAATCTACCGAAAAATGATGAAGTTAAATTTATGCCAAAGTTGTTGAGAGGCCAGTGCTCAGAAGACATACAGAAGAAACCATGTGGGCTCTGATCAAAGCAAGCACATCACCCCAGTCTTGCTTCATAGATACTAAAAATACCACACGCAGCTTTTAAATCATCACTGCTCGCTGCCGAGGGTGAATTTCAACACTGGCTCTCTTCACTGCTGTGTTTCCAGAGTGGCCTTCTAGATAGCACCGTGGGCCTCCCCTACCTGCCTGGGGGAGGGAGAGGGACGGGAGGCCTCCCTCACTGGACACTGAGGACCAGCCCCTAGAATACACACTGAATGTAATCCAGAAAGACCAATTTCTGAAAAGCGCTCAAAGTCTGTCTCCTTTGTACCCCGGAGAGGGCAGCTCTTGGGTGGACAGGCACAATGGGGTGCCACATACACTTCTGGACTGAAAACCCGGGCCCCAGCTATCAGTACATCCTCCTCAGGGTCAGCCACTTCGTGGTCCCCTTAATACACCCACACCTGCACCTGGACCCTAGCTTCCTTTTTTCCCCACTAGATAAAGACCAGGGTGGCCCTGAAGTAAATACCAATCAGCCCAGCTCCATCACAAAAACCACTGGGTAGTCCTGAGCAAGTCCCAGGCCCCGGCTGGGCCTCAGTCTGCTCCTCCATGAGATGGGTCTGAACTCCATAGGTGGTTACACAGTGTTCCTTGGGGTACTCCTCTTCAGGTGCTGCGGAGGGGACAGGTGGGGGTCTGAGAGCTTGGGGCTCTCAAGCCGTGCCTCCCCTTGCCACACACACACACACACACACACACACTAGCATCTGAGCAGACCTCTTTGATATTTTATATACTAGCTTTCTTTGAAAGATTCCGACTCATACCGACTCTATAGGACAGAGTAGAACTGCCCCATAGAGTTTCCAAGGTGCGTCTGGTGGATTCAACTGCCGACATTTTGGTTACCAGCCGAGCTCGTAACTGCGCCCCTAGGGCTCCGAACAAATGTTGCAGAGTCCCAAAACTTGTTAAGTCCCTCTGCCCGGCGCTGGACCTCACCAGGATCTTCCAGCCGCCAAGTGACCATTCCCCTCCCACCTTCCCTGTAAATATAAACTCGAAGAGTCAAAAGGACTTTGGTTGGAGGCGGAGTGTAGACCGGAAGAACAGCGCCCAAAACCACCCGCTAAAAGCAGTTCCAGGTCAGCTGTCGGCGTCCTGGTCTTCACCCGTACGCCAACCAGTGACAGCTGGTCTTTGTCCCCGCGCAACCTAGGGGCTTTGTGGAAGGGGGGAGCGGACCTCAGTGTGCCCCAATTATTTTCCTCCTAGAGACCCGCCGTCTGATACCGGCGCGCTGAGGGAACAAAGCTTCAAGCTGGGGCGCTCGGCAGCTCCTACCTAGCGGCGACCTCGGAGCGCACCCTGGATCTGGGTTACACCCGCCGTGTCTCTCCTCTTCCCCGCCAGAGCCCGTCTTAGTTGGGAAGACTGAGTAGAGATTTAGTGGGGCGGGTGGGGAGGGCTGGAACGTTTCCTCGGGGCAGCTTCCAAGTGAGAGGAAAGGAAACTCAGACCGCGGCTGCACTCTGCCGGGAGCAAGCCTCCGGGTTTGTTCTAGGGGTCAGTGGGTGGTGCAGGTCTGGGCCGTGCGTCCTAGACGATCCTCCTCCCAGAGCCACACTCCCACGCGCCGACTTCCCGACACTATCGCTCTTGTCAAGCTCTGCCGCCCTCGCCGGCACCCCTGTTCGGGTCCCCGTCCGTCCCTGGTCTGAGCGCGCTAGGGGGTCCCTTGAGCCCTCCTAGTCCACCAGCGCGGCCTCACCTTCCGGCTGCTCCCTCCGCCGCGCCACCGCCGTTTGCGGACGGCAGCCTGCGTGCCCGAAGCTCCCTCCACGGCATGACTCATCGCGCCGCCCCCTGTGGGCCTCTCGGAAACTGCAGCCTGCAGGGCGCTCCGGGACCGGCCGGTGGAAACTAACTTTGACCACGAGCGAACTGCTTCGACCTTTGAATCAAATGATCCCCCTCGCCCCAATACTCCCTGAGCTCAGAAACGCCTTCCCGCCTGACTTTCTGGGAGGCACCTTTAGGGCTATAGGACCCTTAGAGCGTGAGGCTCCCCCCCGGACCGGCCGTGAGCCTAGGGCCGATTACCTAAACCTTCTTTCTTCACACCTACAATAATACATCAAACCCAGTTGAGCACCTACTGTCTGCCAGCACTGTGCTGGGCGCTGGGGGATAAAATGCAGAACAAAACAGACCCTTTCTGCTGTCATCGAGATAATATCCTGGGGAAAGACAGATATTAAAACAAGACAAAAATATACCCGCCCCCCTCCCCCCCAAAAATGTATCACCAGTTGGGGTCTCTCCAAAAATGAGGAGTCAGCTCTGGGCGCAGAAGAGGGAACTGTCCTCCGGGCGTGCAACGACCCAGAGGCCGGAGAGAGCTGGCAGCAGCCTTACAGAGATGGCCAGAGGACAGCGTAGCTGGAGGGCAGGCAGGGTCATGCAGACCTCTTAGCCAGGGTGAAGATGGTGCACAGTTACACCAAGGGCAATGGAATGCCACTGAAGGGTTTAAGGCAGGGCAACAGGACTGAACTCTGTTTTGTGGTGAAAGGATAGGGGGAGTGAAGGGGCTGCCTGGGTGAAACTGGGGAGACTAGTTTAGGAGAGTAGAGTCCCTGGTGGCGCAAATGTTTAACACACTCAGCTGCTAACCAAAAGGCTGAAGTTGAGTCCACTCAGAGGCACCTCGAAAGAAAGGCCTGGCAATCTACTTCTGAAAAATTAGCCGTTGAAAACCCTATGGAGCACAGTTCTACTCTGACACACACGGGGTCGCCATGAATTGGAGTCAACTCCATGGCAAATGGTTCGGTTTGGTTTTTAGTCCACGGGGAAAAAGTAGGGAGCTTGGACCTTTATCTGGAAAGAAATGGACTGATGCAAACTACAACCTTGAGGTAGGATCAAGATACCTTCGCCTATTACTGCAAATATTAATACCTACCTTAAAAGCGTGGAACGAAAGCAAAAGCTAAGAAGTTTCCTGGACACATCCAAACACTTTGAGGGACAGAGTAACTGGAGCTGGGGCCTGGGGACCATAGTTTCTGGGGACATGTAGGTCATTTGGCATAACAAAGTTCATTAAGAAAATGTTCTGCCTCCCACTTTAGTAAGTGGCATCTGGGGTCTTAAAAGATTGTGAGCGGCCATCTAACATGCATCAGTTGGTCCCAACCCACTCAGAGCAAAGGAGAATGAAGAACACCAAAGACACAGGAAAACATTAGCCCAAGAGACTAAACGGCCACATAAACCAGAGACTCCACCAGCCTGAGACCAGAAGAACTAGATGGTGTCTGACTACCACCAATGACCGACCTGTCAGGGAACACAACAGAGAGTCCCAGACGGAGCAGGAGAAAAGTGTGGAGCAGAACTCAAATTCACATAAAAAGACCAGACTTACTGGTCTGACAGAGACTGGAGGAACCCCCAAAACTATGGCCCCCGGACGCTCTGTTAACCCAGAACTAAAACCATTCCCAAAGTCCACTCTTCAGACAAAGATTAGACAGAACTAATACGTGAGGAGTGTGCTTCTTAGTTCCATCAGATACACAAGACCAAATGTGCAGCTCCTGTCCAGAGGCAGGATGAGAAAGCAGGAAGGGATGGGAACTGGTTGAATGGAGACAGGGAAGCCGGGGTTGAAAGGGGGAGTGTGCTGTCACATTGTAGGGATTGCAACTAACGTCACAAAACAATATATAAATTTTTGTATGAGCAATTTTTTTTTAAAGTGTGGAAAAGACTCAATAAGTTCATTTATGTAGCATGTTTTAGCACAGGGTCAGGCACACAGCAGCAACAAATAGAACGGCCATTTTATTGTAGATGTTTCATATAAAGAGATCAGCTTGCCCGAGGACACACAGCACATTGGCAGCTTCCATCCTCCCAGCCCAGTGCTCTTTTTATTATTGCCCTTCACTGTGCCAGATTTCATGGAAGGTCACGTAAGAGATGGCCATTTCTGTGCCTTTTCCAAAAACTGGTCAAAGATCTTGTACTCAATACCCTCCCCTGATATAGAAAGTATCATGATAAATTCCATCTAGAAGTGTGTGCCTGGAATCATCTTGAGCTGGGAGTTAAGTTGGTGCCCTCCAGCCTTATGAACCCACACAGCCCAGGCTGCCTCCTCCAGCTCTCTGGAATCCTTGCTTCTCTTCTCTTCCCAGCCAGAGCCCTGCCCGTTAAATGCAGAAGGAGGGATTACGGTCCTCTGAGGTGTCAGAGGCTTCATCATACTTGGCCTTCTCTCAGTCCCAGAGGCCGTGGAATACAACCCTGTGCAGAGGGTGAGTGCAGACAGAGGTCTTGGGGGCCCTGCCCATTTTAATCCTGTCTCACAAGAAATCACCAGGGAACCACAGGCTGGACTTGAGGTTCTAGGCACACGAGCCTTGCGTTGTCCTGGGTTTCACCAACTTTCAAATAGAGCGTATCTCCTTTTTTTTCCTCATAAAATCCTGAGAGGAAAGCAGGGTAGCGATTAAACTTTGACACCCAGACAAGAAAGAATTGCCTTAGACCAGCTCTTTGGGGCAGAGATCTCGCCTTGCTTGGCTTTAGGTACTCCACAGCTGGCACTGACCTCAGCACCTTGTTCCCTAGGAGCTCACTAATATTCACTAAATGAATGATTCCGTCTTAAAAATTAACACCTAATTCACATATAAAATTCACCCTTTCGAAGTACAACTCAGTCGTCTTCAGTATATTCACAAGATCGCACAACCATCACCCCTATCTAGTTCCAGAACATCATCCCCACCCGTATTCACTGGCACTCACTCTCCATTCCCCTGGCAACCAGCCTGATTCATTCCTGATGAAACAATCCTACCTGGACTGTTAGAAAAATAATAACTAATACTTATTGCACATAAAGCTAAGTACTTGGGGAGCCTTCTCAAATTTATTTTTCACACCAGTCCTGCAAGGTAAGTTTTATTAGTCCCCATTTCGCAGATGAGGAAACTGAGGCTCCTGTAGGCTAAGGAACTTTCGGAAAGACACGCAGCTAGGAAAGGAGAGGAGCTGGGCCTTGAACCCAGGTAGATCCACAACCCTAAAGCCAGGGAATCCCTCAGCAGGCAGCATCCCTATAGGTGCCAGAGGTCACTGAGCAGGCAAACAGGACAGTCTCAGTTCTGACGTAAATCTACCGCGCACGTGCTCTGGCCCTGTGGGAGCCAGAGGGGTGAGTACAGAGCACTACAGCCCCACCAGGGGAGGGTGACCTGGGGCTTGGGAAGGCCAAGGAAGGCTTCATGGAGTTGCTGGGCCTGGATGGATGATGACTCCAATCGGCAGGGTAGAAGGGAAGGACTTTAAAAAGCACAGCACAGACATAAAGCTGGAAGGGAGGAGAGAGAAGTGTGTGGTGGCCTGTCACCGGGCTCCGGACACGGCACGTCAGGGCTGGTGTGGCCCATCTCCAAGCACCTGCCCCAAACCACGAAAATCTGGGAAGGGGTCTGATTGTCACTCAACACCTTCTCGGCAATCAGATACCTCTGTCCAGCAGAGGAGAGAGGGTCTCAGAGCAGCCCTCTGGTGCCCTTTCCCATGCAGTTCACCCCACATTCCTCCTCTCTTCCCCCACAGCAGCCCCATAGCGCTGGAACTGAAACTCAGGGCTCACTGCCTAACAAGGGACTTTTGCCTTTGAATTTCCAAGTGCAGAGATAGTAGGAAGACAGTAGGAAGGTGTAGTTTAGATGTTAAAACAATTCTATGGCACTTCAAAGATTACTGGGGACAGCAGACAGATGGTCTGACATGGCCAAATCTAGGAGGAAGAAGGGTTGCTGGACCTTGACCATGATGGGCTTCCGGCCATGAGCACCTTCCCTGACAAACGACAGGTAACTTTCTGCTGGATCCCAGGGCTGGGGGGAGCTCCAAGGTACTAGGGTCAACTCAGGAGCCCAAAGAAACAGGGACAGTATCCCCACTTGAGGAAGGGGCAACCCTTAGCACTCAAGAGCGGCTGTCGCAGGAGAGGTCTGTGGTTGCTCAGAGTTGGCACTCAACAAATGGATGCTAGAGACCGAATTTTTCCAGGCACTCTCCCTTCTTGGAGTCAGTCCCCCCAACCAAAATGTCGTTCAGTCCATCAGTAACTGAACCCCCATTTCTTGAGGGCCTGTGGGTGCAGGGGCCTGGGCACCGTGCCGGTTCCTAACTTGTAGGGTTGGTCTTAGTTCCCTGGAGGCTGCCCTGGCCTCATCCACTTTTGAAGTCCTGCCCACCCTGGGGCCTAGCACAGGCCTCGTTATACTGCAGGCACTCTGCAAGCACTTGCTGCCAGACCAAGACCACCACCTTCTGGGACCTGCAAACCCCACCCAGTGCTGACCAGTGCGTGACCAGTGCCTAGGGTCAGTCTGGCAGAGGAATATCCAGTGAGAGGAAACCCTGCTGAGAAAGCGGAACGGAAAAGGTCTATTTCTTTGCCTGGTACTTGCCTATCACAGACCCGATTCTTGAAGAGGAAAAAAAAAAAAAAATCTGATATATACCGGTATAGAGGTTCTCCCATAGATTCTGTTTATTCCTAAGCCCAACCAGACACATTCTACCCCCAAGATCCCTGAGGCCCAGTTTGAGGACTGGAAAACTAAGGCACTGTGTTGGAGCCCCGCTATAGGTCGGGGACACCTAAAGAATGAAGCCAACGGAGTCTGGACCTGAGGGATTCCACCTCCCGGTAGGTCTAGGACAATAGACATTTCCTTCTCCTTTCATCTCTGGTCCTCAAAGCAAGGTCTCTCTCCTGAGGTACCCTGAGGAAGCCAGGTCCTTTCTGTAAGCCTCCATTCGGACTGAGAGGCAGAGTGGGAGGACCCAAGGCCCCAGTGAAGCAGCAGCTCCAGGTGGCCGGCTGCAGTCAGGACACAGGGAACAGATGCAAAACCCTGGCCAGGGCCTGCCTTCCAGCCAGCTTCTGTCTGTCTGTCAGGACCAGAGCTGTTGTGCTAGGCTTCCCAGAAGAGAAAATAGCACAGCTGTATCTAGTGCCAGGGAGACAGAGGGGTGAGGGCTCAGGGAGGCACCCCAAAATGGGCTGACAGCTGTGGAAAGGGAGCACAGTGCCCCAAGGGACCCATGGGGCTGAAGAGAAGTCTGTTTCAGACTCCAGAGCCCAGGCTGCAATCAGCATAAACACCGAGGTCACCTGAACAAGGTGGGTGGTGATCCAGCCGGGCATGCCCTGTCAGGAGCTGGGCCCTGGACCCTGAGGTTGCCATTGCCTCAATGCCACTTCCCACAGCAGAGAAGGGTCACTTTTCTCTCCAGAGGGGGACGGCGGCCTCAGAGCTTGCTTCGGGGGACCTCTGCCAGGGGCCGCTGCAGCCGCCACACCACCTGGACTGGCTCGGTGGCACGGTCCAGCTGGCGGAGACTGCGCAGGTCACCGGTCTCACTGTACTGCTGCAAGGCCGGCTGGAGCACCGTGATGGGAATGCTGAAGTTCAGGTGGGGGTAGGTGGCCCCTGTGTTATTGTCCCGGGTGTTGCTGGCGACAATGCCTGTTGAGGAGTCAGAGAGGAAAAGAGGATGTGAGTGGGGAGGCAGACAGATGGGGAAAGGAGGATGACCACCTCCACCCCGGAGCCACCAGGGCCGTCGAATAGTCAACGACAGACGCTGGGCGTCCTGTCATGGATGCTCGTCCCCACACCCAACCTCCTCCCACTCTACTTTCTCCTCAACACTTTCTCTGACACATCAGACACATCACTTGTGTTGTTGATGATCTTTCTCTCCAAGTAGTGCCAGCTCTGTGAGGGCAGAACTTCCATGTGTTTGATTCCTGTCTCTGCAGTGCCTAGGACAGTACCTGGCACACAGTAGGTGCTTAACAAATCTTGTTGAACGAGTGAATGAATGAATCAAACCCACAGACAAGCTTTGTTTGGCCTGCTCAATGCAAGTATGTGTATGTGTATGTGCAGGCACGTATGTACATTTTTTTAAAAGATAATTTTAGACTTACAGAAGAGTTTAGGAGCTGAATGGTCTGAAAACCTTGGCTAACTACTTCCTGGGCATAAGGCTTCCAGACAGGGGTCGCTCCCGGGACTGGATACCAAGAACTCTGGGTGGGACCAAGCACTGGCAAAGGGAAGGTTGGGGGAGGGTCAAGGAACTAGTTACCCAGGAGGTCCCCTGAGCGGGTGGAGAAGAGAGGTCCTCCACTGGAGCCTCCATGCACAGCACACGTGGTCTGCAGCATCACCGGCCTGTCGTCCACATGCACCACAGCTGACAGGATACCCGAGGTCACCGAGGGCCCACAAGCCTGGCCAAAGACGCCGAAGCCCACCACACTGACAGCCTCGCCTGCCAGGGAGGGAAGGATGGTGAAGCTCCCCAACTCCCGTCTCCACCCTCTGCAAAGGTCCAAACCCTCTCTGCCCTCCAAGTTTCTGCCCAGGTCCCCCAGCAGAAAGAGGCCAGGCCCTCCACCGAGCTCCTCGTGCTGCACCTACACAATGACTTCCCCTGAGCATTAGGCTGTCATAGCCAAGCCCTCGTTCCCCTGCTAGATGGGATAGCCACTTTGGGGCTTCCTATCACCTAGCCTAGAGTCCCTGGGTGGTGCAAACAGTTAACGCAGTCAGCTACTAACCCAAAGGTTGGAGGTTTGAGTCCACCCAGAGGCACCGCGGAAGCAAGCCCTGGTGATCTGCTTCCAAAAAATCAGCCACTGAAAACCCTATGGAGCCCAGTTCTACTCTGACACACTTGGGGTCACCATGAACTGGAACCAACTCAAGAGTAACTAGTTAGCACCTAGCTGGGTGTTCAATAAGTGTTTGTGGAATTATCATCCATCTCCTCCTGGGACTAGGAGTCTCTTATGAGAAGAAATGGTAACGGTGACTATAGCCAGCAGTGGGGCTCAGTGCTTTACAGGCAACTTTTCCCACAGTCCTCACAGTACCCAGGAGTAGGAGCATTAGCCCCATTTTACAGATGTGGAAACTGAGGTAGAGAACAGTTATGCAGCCAGTGTACGAACACAGGACTAGTAAGTGGCAGAGCAGAAATGCCAATCCTGAGGGCCTATACTCTCCATCACCATATCACATGGCCTCCAAGAAGTGAGACATCTGGTACTTATGTGGCGGCACTACTAAGCCTTTCACCCAGATCATGCCATTAGCGTCTCGAGAGTGCCACACACCTCTCTGACCAGCACCCTCACTCACACTGCTGCAGGCCATTGGAGAGGTGTGTTATACACTTCACAGGTACTCTGCCTACCCCCCACCACTTGCAATGGGATGCGTATGCTGGGCATCAGCAGGAAGGACTTCCAAGGACACGCCCGGCCAAAGCATTGTAACCAGGATGATGTCATGCCAACTTGATGCCCCCCGGACTCATTTATTTAACTGGGGTGGGGAGAGGAGCTGGCCCGGGGAACTGGCCTCCTAATCTGGCAGGGTCAGAGTGCCCAACACTGACTTCTCTTCCCGAGGTCCATCCTACACAGAGGGGGCGCCCCCTTCAGGCTGCACCACCTTTGTCCATTACCTTCATGGAAGTGCTCAGCGGGCACAGGCATGGGGATGCCATCCAGGCTCTTCTCCAGGCTCACCACTGCTATGTCATAGGGAGACATCTCCTGGGTAGCAAACACCACATGGCCCCAGATGGCGGCACTCCTGGGAGCAAGGGAAACAAATGACAGGCTTTCTGACCTTTAGCACTCTCAGCTGGGGGAGTGGGAAGGGGACAAGGAGATAAGAGAATGACAGTAAAAGTCAAGGACCTAGAGTCAGAAGATCTAGATGTCAGCCCTGAGACCTACCAGCCAGGCAACTGTGGGTATATCACTTAATGGATGTGGGATTTCCAAACATGCTGTAGAAACTGTAAGCACATCTAGGTAAATCTTCCTGAACATCACCCCAGTAATGATCAACTAGCACTTAGTGGGAGTCCCTGAGTGGTACAAACGGTTAATGCACTCAGCTGCTAACCAAAGGCTAAAGGTTGGAGTCCACCCAGAGGTGCCTCAGAAGAAAGGCCTGGAGATCTAGTTTCAAAAAATCAGCCACTGAAAACCCTATGAAGCAGAGTTCTACTCTGCCACACATGGAGTCGCCACGAGTTGGAACTGACTTGGCAGCAACTGGTACTTGCACTTAGCACTGTGGGCCAGACCTGGTGTTAATGCTTTAAGGACATTATTTCATTTAGTCCTCCCAACACCCCTATGAACTAGCCACTGTTATTATTTCTACGGTGCAATTGAGGCCCAGAAAGGTTGAGTAATTTTCCCACGGTCACAGAGTAAGTGGTAGGATCCAGGGCACACATTCCAAGCATTTTTCCTTCATTGCCTATGTTGATACTCACAACCATCATGTCAGTTGGTGAAACAGGCATGATATTAGCCCTCTGGATCCCTGTTTACATAAATGCTAGCATTTCTAAGCCAGGCTCTATTCCAAGACTTTGTATGTTAACTCATGAAGAGACAGCTTAGACATAAAGTCACTAGCCCAAGGTTACGCAGGGGATTCCTGCTATACACGCTCTCTGCACAGGTAGCATCCAGCAGACCTGGTAGTTTCCTTAGGAGCAAAGAGTGTGTATACTGGGGGTGGGGTACGTGAGGAATCTGCAGGCCACACCTCAGGGTCTTCCCTGTAAAATCATGGTTATGACAAAGCCAGGCTGGGTTAACCACACTGGGTTACCTCTGGGATTCAGAAGAGGGGTTTGGAAAAGACCTGGGCTGGGAGGGGAGGTTGGGTTGAGCCATCCATCAGGCATTAACTTCAAGGCTACACTCTGCTTTGCTTTGGCATAATTTAAGCCCCTGAGGCTGCAGAGGAAACAGAATGTGCACTAGAAAACCAAGCCAGGAAGGCAAGGTGGCTGTCCACAGGGACAGAGCAGGAGGACGTAAAGGAGAGCAAGGGGGCTTCTCCCTGCAGACGGAACAAGTGACTAAAGTCCCAACCTCACTGTCCACCAGGATCACCCAGATTGTTACAAATGTGTCTACCTGCCTGGGCCCCACCCCACATCTAAAATTTCGATCCAGAAGGGAAGCTCTGGTTAACACCTAGGAGATACGGGTGAGATGAGCAGGCCCATCTCATTACTTTAGGAGGCAGCATCCTGAGCCCCTGGGACTTCACCACACTTTGAGGGGAGGGGAGGACAGGGTTAGGAAGTCTCCATTCAAAGGGCATGAGGGACAGGGCTATGAGGCAGAAAAGTCGCCCAAAAGAAATTCACACTGGGAGGGGGAGCCTCAAAGATGCCCAGACCCGAAATTCTAGTAAAAAGACCAGACTTAACTGTCTGAGACTGGAGGAACCCAAGAAAGCATGGCCCCGGACTCTCTATCAACCCAGAACTAAAACAATTCCCAAGACCAACACTTCAGACAAAGATTGGACTGGACTGTGGGACATAAAATGATACTCGTGAAGAGTGTGCTTCTTAGCTCAAGTAGACACATGAAACTAAATGGGCCGTTTCTGTCCGGAGGTGAGATGAGAAGGCAGAGAGGGTTAGGAGCTGGTTGAATGGACACGGGAAATCTGGGGTGGAAAGGAGAAGTGTGCTGTCACAGTATAGGGAGAGCAAGTGGGGTCACTTAACAATGTATGTATACATTTTTATATGAGAGACTAACCTGAATTGTAAACTTTCACTTAAACTACAACAATTTAAAAAAAAAAAAAAAAAGATGCCCAGACCAGGATGCAGGAAGGCCCCAGTTCCCAAATTCAGAGTTGATAGGAGCTTGTTATCTTGTCCAAGACCCATTCTGCCCTTGCCAGGAGGCCCAGATACCCCTACACTGGGGTTCTGGGTGTCAAGGATGATGGGTGAGTCCTAGGTCCCTACCCACACCAGACCCCAAAGCATCAGCGTGATGCCAGTTGTAAGGCCTGGTGAGGGGCAGGGTAGGAGCAGCCCTGGGCGCCTTACTTGGGGATGGCGGAGCGCACCAGGACCCTGGCCTCCTCCCGAGGGACCACATGCCGGCAAGTCACCACGAGGCGGGGCGCCACGGCCACTCCGGAGCCCCATACGGTGCTGCACTCCACCAGCACAGCCGCGGCTGCCCAAGGGAGTCCGGGGTCTTGGAGGGGCAGGCTCCGCATGGCGCCCACCTCGGGCGGCAGCTGGGCGGCTAGGACCTCAGAGCCCGGGTGCAGGCCGACAAGCGCGGCGCGGGCGGCGTGGAGCAGGGGGGAGGCCGCGCAAAGCAGCGTGAGGCCCACCCATTCGCGCGCCTTCCAGCAGAGCGGCGCCGCCACCAGCGCCACCAGCGCGCCCGCGGGCCGCACCGCGAACACTCCGCCGCCCTCGGTGCCTGGTAGGCAGCGCGCGTCGGTGAGCAGCAACGGACCGGCAGAGTTGCTAAGCACGCCGCGGCTCAGTGTGTTGAGAAAGATGTCAGGGCAGAAGGCGCCGAACGGGGAGCCGCAGGCCAGCAGCGGCGCGCCCTTGGGCACAGTCCCAAGAGGCGCCACAGCCACGGCCGCCCCGAGCTCGTCCGCATCCTCCTCGGCTGCTGCCTCGCCAGACCGCACGCGCAGCAGTGCAAACCAGCCTAGCGCTCTCAGCTGATCCTCCTCCTCATCCTCCGACACCTCGTCGTCCGGCGCTCCGCTGGCGAAGCGCCACTGCTCGGCCGCGTCACCCCCGAAGAGGCGCGCGAAGTGGGCCCGGAAGGCCGGACAGCTCAGCAGCAGCAGCAGCTCGGCAGGGCGCGGGGGCTGCAGGGGCCGCCCGCGGGGCCGGGCGGACGAGCGGGGCTCGAGGCCCGCGCACTGAGGCGTGCACAACTCCGGACGGCCCCTCTCCGAGCGGCCTGCGGGACTCGCGGCCATTGGGCTCCACTGCACGTGCAGGCGCAGGTCGTCGTTGCAACTGTCGCCGGGCAGGAAGGCAGCGCTGGCCGCGGTCAGGACCCCGCTGCCCGCCCGCAGGAAGGGGGTGAAGATACCCCCGTGGCACAGAACAAGGCCCGGGCTGCGGCTCAGGATCACCCCGCTGCAGCTCCACAAGCCTGCTTCGGGCTGGCCGGCCCGGGAGGCGCTCACCACGCAGCCTGCCTGCTCCGCCGTCCTCATGGCGGGCCCCCACTGCCGCCCCATGGCCTGCGTTTCGGTGCACCCGGGCCTTCACGGAGAACCAGGTTCCGAGCGGCTGAGGATCCCGGCCTGGCCTAACTGAGCCAACGCAGCGCCACCCAGAGCTGGAAGCGAGACGCACAAGCACGGACTCAGGTCTTCCTCATCAAGCCGGATTGGCTAAACCCCAGCTGACCGGTCCGGATTGGCTGGCTTTGGGACCGGGCTCTGATTGGCTGCTAGTGCTGATCCTTCTTTCCCCGCCCTCGTAGGCTCATCCAGCCTGTGGGACTTACAGGGAGCAGCTGCCCCCAAGGACGAGCCCCTAGAGTGACAGGCGTGTGGGTTTACCACGAGATGGGGGGAGAGGGAGGGGGAGGGGCGGATCCCTCAGAGACCGAAGTCTTCTCTGTTCGTAGGGTTGCTGGGAAGGGGAGTAGAGACGAGCTGACGTGGCTGGACTTGTCCAGGCCGTGACAGGACCTGTCAGAATCAGCCAGGTCTAGGCGCCATTCACCCTCTGACCCCTGGGAAAATACGGGCCAAGGTAATACTTGGCCGATTCAGTATTTAGAAATTTTGAAAGTAAACCACAACAATCCTCTAAGAGGCATGGAGCTCACAAGATATACTCCTAAATCTAAAACCCACTGCCTTTGAGTTGATTCCGATTCATAGCCACCCTATAGGACAGAGTAGAACTGCCCCATAGGGTTTCCAAGGCTGCAAACCTTTAGGAAAGCAGACTGTCACATCTTTCTCTCGCAGGAGCGGCGGGTGGGTTCGCACCGCTGACCTTTTGGTTAGCAGCCCAGCGCTTTAACCACTGTACCACCGGGGTTCCTTCAGATCTACTCCTAGGGCCTTTAATGCCAAAGCCCCCACACGACAAATCTCATGGAAATTGTATTTGCTGTAAATAAATTGCCCTTTAAATTTCGTAGCTAAAGTCAAATTATTATTTATACAACACTAAATTTTTGTAATACGTACATCTCACACACCCAGGATTTATCTAGGCCAGGGGTCGAAAACTTTTCCTGTAAAGGGCCAACTCTGCAGTTGCAGCATGCAAAAGCTAAATGAATAGCCATGATTGTGTTCCAATAAAACTTTATTACGGACACTGAAATTTGAATTTCATGTAATTTTCACGTGTCACAAAATAGCATCCTTCTTTCGATTTTTTTCCCAGTAATTTAAAAGTGAAAATTTTTTTTTCTTAGCTCATCATACAAAAACAGGTGGCAGGCCAGATTTGGCCTAGAAGCTATAGTTTACCAACCCCTGATCTACGGGTAACAAAAAATGTCCCTATTTTCCCAAAGAAGTACCCTTGAGGACAGAGGAACACAAGTATGTTCGGGGGCCCTCAGGACACCCCCAAAGCAGTCACCACAAAGTAGACATTTTATGAAGGTCTGCCTTACCACTATATTACTACAATGTACATTAACATTTAAGAGTACTATAGTACACATGGAGCTCTGGTGGCATAGTGATTAACAGTGATGGCTGCTAACCGAAAGGTTGGCAGTTTGAATCCACCAGCCACTCCTTGGAAACCCTGAGGCAGTTCTACTCTGTCCTATAGGGTGGCTATGAGTCAGAATCGACTCAACAGCAATGGGTTTATAGTACGCCAGCATTCATGAGAAAATACTCTGCCACTTAAATTATGCAGTCTTTCTGCTTCAAATCTCTGGATAATGCTGCCAAGCGTATCCCAGCACAACATGGAGTAATGCTCCCAGTGACACAACCCTGTTTGAGAAAGGAAAATGATTAAGGGCTCTAGTCTGGGGCAGGGCAGAAATAAGCACTCTTCCATAGCAGGCACTGTCTTCTTTCGGCTGTGTGACACAGAAGATGGCTTGGTCACAGTAAAATCTCTTTAGCTATCCCAACTTCCTAGCAATTAAAAGTTTCTTTCTCTCTCGAGTCCAGTGATCGTCCCTTAATGATGCTCAAGTCTCCAGCATGAACTGTTGGTTGTGCATCAGGTTTTTGTTTACGGCAGACCACGGTACAGACAGTCCCAAGTCACAGCAGCCAAGGTGAGACCCCCTTGAGTGCCAACTCAGCCTTTAAATTTACATTCCGCTCCCACTCAAAACCAACCAACCCACCTATACACAGAACACACAGCATATTAAGAGACGTTAGTTTCAATAGCAGAATGCCTCCAATAATTTAATACTTGGTCAAAAAGAACCTGTTGCATTTTGTTTCCCATTCTATTTGTCCCAGTACTTTAGTTCTGGAATCTCATTTGGGGTTTTCTAAAAGCAAGGCTTCCTACAAGTCTAGTAAATGCACAAGCACAGATTTCATTCCTCCCCCTATTTTGCAAAATGTAGCATTTAACTGAATGGCTCCAATTTTGTGTAACATGGAGTGAAACACAGGTTAATTGGACCCAGTCCTTGCTGGCACATTAATATGAGATTTTATTGAAATATCTGTTATGCCCATCCGTTGCAGACATGACCACCAACTCGGGGGCCACAGCATGTTCCAAGGCTCTCAAATGGTACTAACTTTATTACCTTTACTAAAATGTGTGAATACCCCAGCCCCCCAACAACAGCAGAATTTAAGTCTCTCATATCCACCCTAAATGTTTCTTCCTGTAAGTAGGGAAGAACCTTTGTTTTTCCCCAAACAAATGATATGTTCAAACTCAGAACTCACAACATACCAACACACACTCACACAGAGATAGCAAGTTTGTTTTAACTTTTTATTAAAATGCTTAGGATACAGACTGACTTTCTTTTGTAAATGACTATTTGATTTTTCCTGAAATAGGACATATATGCACTCTGATAAAACAGAATGAAAAGTCTCAGTTCATGGGAGTTCCTGTACAAAGCTCTGATCCTTAAGTGTATGGAGCAGAGCTCCTCACAGCTGTTTCTTTCAGCTGTCTTATTATAGGAATGGTGTCCAGTGGGGCAAGAAATAGACTGGTGCTACTTGACTTTTCAATCCCTCTTTCTCCAGTGGCCGAAATAAACCACTTTCACAAAGAGCTACCCTATCTAGAACCCCTTAGTGATTAGGGACAGATATGGGGAAAAACAAAAAACAAGAAAACTAACACTGAAGCAACCATACTTCTCATGTCTCTGGATAGAGAAGTATGGATAACCTTTAGCCAAAGAAAATATAAAGGATGTAAGTCAACTACCTAGTTCATTCACCGTTAGCTAGATTTGTTCACGTAAGGCTTTAATCCCTTCCCAAACCAACGATTTAGACTTAATCCAGCTATGCCTTGCTAATAAATGAAATGCATGCTCTTCTCAGACTTTATCATCAACTCTCTGCATTTGGTACTTGGCAGTGAAAAAGTATGCTTTCTCAATAGGTCAAACTGAAGACTAAGAATGAGAAATCCAATTAAAGAATGATTCTCATCCACAGAATATGTTATCCACACTTTGCCTACCCTCACACCAAAAGCAGGAATCCACTTTTCAATCCTCTCAGATAAGCAACATCATCACAATTTCCAATTCTGAAAAAATTACTTCTCGCCTTAAGACCATCTCCTACCCTTTCATCTTTCACTCCAAGGGTGGGATACAGGTTAAGATTATGAAAATCCAATTTCACACATGGCACTAAGAGAAATGGAATGCTATAAAAACAACCCTCAGGCACACTACTGGCGATGCTGATACTCTTACGCTGAGTGTTTACTATCTGACAGTAAGTGATGCTGGCTCAAAAGAAACAGCCCTACACAAAGTTCTTTGATTAGTTTTTTCCCCAGTTTACTTCTGGATTTGGAGAAAGGGCAATTTCATACCAAACTAAAAAATATATATATCTGGAAAAGCTACAGATGTTAACCTTTAAACACACACACAAATAGATAACTGATAAAGAGAAAAAGATGTTAAGAAAAAGACAGCATTCAGGAACAGTGCAATAAAGAGACCAAATTCTGGAAGTGGAAATTTTAAAGCCCAGCTGAGTAAATCTTTCCTAGATTAAAAAATGTGTTACAATACCACATTTTAAGTTCTCAGCTTATAGAATTAAGAGCCCTCAAGCTGTTAACTTTGTTTGGTGTGATTCTCCTAGTCAGAAAAACCTCCCCACTAGAATCTGTGCAAAAAGTTAACTGAGACACATCTGCAGTATGCAACACAAGAAACTTGAAATTAATCTCAACTCTTTTATGAGGCAAAAGTCACTTTTTATAACTGAAAATAAAAAAGGAAGGTGCTAGAGGCAGGAGTGAAATTTCACAACGGTATGAAAGCAAACACTGGCTGAAATCTGTAACGTTAGAAGTACAAACAATGATACCCCACTCTATGATTAACTCCTCCTCAGTGAACCATCAGCTATACACTCCATGGTGAGCAATGCCCCTAGCTCGCCACTGTGGAAACCTGCTGCAACTGCAAGGCCAGGGCGCTGCCGCTCTTCTAGTTACCTGTGCACAGTCACGCCACCTACCGGAAGGCAGGCAGAGAGACGGGTGAACTTGGGGGCTCCCCGCACCAACCCGCTAATTCAACAGGAGTAAGATCACCTGGCTGAGCTCTGGCCTCCAACGTGTATCTGTTCATAATTTTATGAATATCTAAATGTATGAATATCTAAATGCCATTCACTAGATTTAAAAAAAAAAAAAAAAAGAATAGAAAACTCTGGACCAAGTGAATTGTGAACTCAAAAAGTCAGGAGGGACACCAATTACATTAACAATACTTTCTTTAAAAAATAGAATCACTTTCTTTTCAAATCAACCACAGTGGTGAGACGTGTTTTTCTTTTCAGGTGCCCCACGATGGCACACAGCTCTACCCGGCAAATCCTGCCAGCTTCCAAGTCCCGGGATGCTGACCTGCACCAGCACGTGGGGCAGCATTACCTCCCAACAGTGTGGAGAAGAGCACATGTCACCACTGGGCGATGAGAGAGCCGACAGAGACTCCTGGCTTCTCAACGCCAAACACGGGTGGAGAGCTTTCCTTGTTCTATTAGAAAAGTTCATGAGGAAGCTGTGAATAGGATCAGTCCAGAGAAGTAAAACTTGTTTATTTTCACTGTCCAAACATCAGTCAATATACTGGGAGAGCCAGCGGAAACCTTCGCCATAGCCTTGCCTCTTGAGCACACTGCACATGAACACTTCCATGGGGCGGGCGTTCAGTTCCTTCAGGGTCACGTTCCCCTAATGGAGGCAAACCAAGAAAGGGCTGTTAGCACCTCCGTGGTGGAAAAGCTCAAAAGGATGATCAATAAAACCGGCTTCTTCATTCCTCAAAAGCGAATATAAGTAGGGATTAATTACAGAAATGTGGTCAAGGCCCACAGACAGATGACTTCCCTGGGCTTCATGCCTTCAGGACAGAATAAGCAGCGCAGTCCTTCTCCCAGACTCTTTCTCCAGGAAGAGCGTCCGCTTTCAACACTCCAACATTCGTCTGGATAGTTATGGCGGCAAATCAAGAAAAAGGCCACTGGGGCCCATGAAACCAGCATCCCCTTCAGTAGACAAAAGAGGTCTGGGACTTTTTAGAAATAAAGACATTCTCATTTAACACGAGTATGCAGAAATATACAATGATGACAGGTTACACTGAGGAAATTAAGGAAGATTTCATGACACAACACTGTTACAGAAGGGGAAACTTAATGAATTAAAGGAAGCATTTCTAGACAGAAACAGATAACCAGAAAGAGGCAAGACTAAGGAATCAAGTAAAGAAGTGAGAAAATTATCATAGATCACAGAGAAGGATGATTTTAAAAATTAAATATGCTAAGACCCCAAACTGAAACGACTAGAAGGATTCCTGTGTAATTATAGCTGATCTGGATTTTCTCTCTTACAAACCTGCTTTTCTATAACAGATTGCTCTTCCAACTGGAGACAGCACAACCTACTAATCTGGAAGACTAGGTTCTATTTCTGGTTTTGTCACTGACTTGCTGTGCAGACCTGAACAAATCACTCTGTTTCCTCACCTGAAAAAAAAGAGATAAGAGTCCTACCTCTCTCAGCAGGAGCACTGGGCCTGGGGTCAAGTGCTTTCATTTCTACTGCTTGGAGAGTTATACAAAATAACTGTTTTTCTTCATAACCTGAATTCTCCAGTCAAATACTGATTTCTTGCTAAGAAGAGCTCTTTCTAGAGAGATTTCTCAGAATCAAATTTGAAAGGTAGTCAGGAAAGTCTTGATTACTACAACAAATGGCCTCTTCTACCATTTCCTTCATCCTCAAATACCTGAGGATATATCTCATTAGAAAACAGAAAGAACCTACTCCTGCCTTTAGAGAGCTTACAAAATACCCACAGTAAAACAAATCCTAAACTCATGTAAACTTTTGAAAAGTACAACCCAAATATCAAAACATGAATGTTAGCAAAGTGGTGAATGTCCTTTATAACATGTCCCCTGAAGATTCTTCTCTTACCTTTCCTGTGGTCTGTCCATAAAGCCCAAATATCTCACGGAGTTTTTCTTCACTGATTGCATCTGCTCTGTCAATTTTGTTACCCAAGATAAGGATTGGCACATTGGATATTGTTTCATCAGTCATTAAAGCCTAAAGACAAGATAAAAAAAGAGCCAAGTAAAGAATCTACAAAAGCCCACTAGATAATGAAAACAATTTTGACTTCCACTGGTCTATAAGGTATCAAACGTAAAGTGAAAATCTGATAATCTGAGTGATTAATTAAAAGTTAATCCTGACATTACAACACCCCTGACATTAGATAAAAATATCCTAACTGTCTCAAAACAATTGTGACTCAAGGCTGTGTATACTTACAAAGCAGAACTGCCTCAACCTTTGAGCTGAACTGCTCAGCCACGGACCACCGTCTGGATATCCACTCAGCACAGTCCTAGAAGAATGAATGCTCTGGATACAGAGCCTCAGAGATGACTACAGGAACTCCCCAAGTAGTCTCTGAATGCCCAATGTGTGCAAAACCCTGACGCACCAAGAACGATACAAAAGGAAGGGTAAGACACAGTCCCTGTCCTCAAGAGAGACTCACTCTATTTTCAGACATACGCTAACAAAGCTTAGTAAAAACACAAGGTAGGAGATGACTGTCACAATGAATGGGAACAGAATAGAAATATTAAAAGTTTAGGGAAATATAATGTCAACGTGGGTTTGAGGAAAGTCTCAGCAAAGATGTAGAACCTAAACTAGGCTCTGAAGGAAGGACAGGATTTGGGTAGGAAATAAGCAATGGCTTTGCAGTAGGAAAAGAATTTAGGAAGTCATGGAGTATTGCCTGGCTGGATTAAAGCATTTATGCTGCCATGTAGTGACAGAGTTAATGGGACGGGTAGGGATAAGCCACATTATGGTGCCAGTCTGACAAGTCAGCTGCAATATATCTTGGAGATCCCCAAACCCAGAAGTTACTGAATAGATATAGATAGTATTTATCCATGGTGCTCAGGGTGCTCAGGTGAAAGATGACAATCTAGCCCAAGACTGCGGCATTTAATGAATACTGCCGGAGGCACTTTGGAGAAAGAAGTGAAGGGACACGATGTCTAAATGATAAGGCAGACAAAACAGGAGTCAGAGTTGGCAGGGTTCAAGCCTGGAAATCTAGTTCTCACTGACAGGAAAGCTAGGAAGGAAAGCAGAGCTGAAGGGGTTGTGCTTTGACCATCTTGAACTCCAGGTAATGTTAAACATCAAAGTAAGGATGTCATTCATTCATTAAAGACTGACAAAGTGCCTACTAAGTATCAGATGCTTTGCTAGGTGCTGGAGATTTGGAGAGAAATAAGATAAGGTCCCTGCCATCTAAGTTCATTGTCTGGTGGGAGACACCTGTAAGAAAAACAGTAAAAACAACAGATGCTGATAAGGTGGGGAGGCTAACATAGGCCGAGAGGTCAGGGAAGGCTTCCTAGAAGTGGTCATACCTGAATGAGTTCTCTTAAAGGACAGGAAAGAAAGCCAGACAAGGATAGATATTTGTGCATATTCAAGAAAGGGCAAGTTGTTCTCTATATTTGAAATGAAGTTCCAGGTAGGCAACAGAGAAAAGGAAGCTAGAGAAATAAACAAAGGGAAGATCATGAATGATCTTATGTGCTATGCAAGAGATTTATAGATCTTATCTGGAAAGTGGTCGAGAACTACTAAAAGATGTTAAGTAGGGCAATGAAAAGTGTGAGACAGTTCCTTCTAGCATTACAGTGCATGGCCCAGAGGTGGAGGGGAAGTGCACATTGAAGGCAGGGAGACCAATTAGGAGACTCTGCCAACAGCTGAAATAAATAACGAAGGCCTAAAACAAAAGGGTAGAGCAGGGATGGTGTGAAGTAGAAAGAATCAAGATATTAAGGAGTAAAAGAGATAGGACTTAATATCTAAGTAGAAATTAACGGACTAATCCCTCACAGTAACTAGGTAGATGGTAACTCACAGGATTGGGGCGGAGGAGAGGGCAAATGAAAGATCCTCTCTGGGTAAGTGTAAGGGTACATACAGACAGGATCCCCCAAGGATATTCAGAGGTTGGTGACTGAATAGTGGGTGGGTGGGTGGGTGGGGAGGGGATTGACATGGAATCCACAATAATTCACAGGTCTCTGGACTGGATGTCCAGGTAGATGGTGGGATAAGATGAATAGTTCTCTTCTGGGAAAACAGAACTGGTAGGTGGAGTTGTCTAGTAGGCAGCTTTATGTATGAGGCTGGAGCTCAGGAGAGAGGTCTAGATAGGAGAAATCCACTTGGGCAGTAGCAGCACGTAGACGGTAGACGAAAGAATAGGCATAGACCAAGGAATACGAACATTTAAGGGCTAAGCAGAGGAACAGGTGATTGTGAAAGAGGCTGAGAAGTATTAGCCAGAAAGATAGTAGCAAAATCAAAAGCGTAAAGGGGAGTTTAAAGAAAGAGGGAATGGCCAGTGCCAAGAGGTCAAGTCAGGTAAGCACTGTCCTATAGGCAACTCTACATGAGACTAGAGCTGTAGATTCAAGGAATATACAAACAAAACAGGTTCAAATGCAGAGGAACAAGAATGCTGAGAGATAGTAATATATATCAAAGAAAAAGAAGAAGGCATGGGGTGAAGGAGTGGATAAGAGAGTAGTGCAGACAACAAAGACAATATTACAGAAATCGTAAAGCCAAGAGCCAAGAAGATGCAACGGTGGGAAAGGAGAAAACTTGAAGCAAGTCCTTGATAGTATCAAACGGTACACGTGAGCAAAACTGAAGAATGAGAGCAGAATATTAAGGCCTAGCAAGCCATTCAGTGGAGGGCAGTTAGGCACAACCTAAGAAGGCAGATGCAAAAACGTAAAGAACTCTAACACTGCTTTTACGGTTTCACTATGCCAGCACTACAGAAAGAGTGACCACACACGATACATGAAGGGAGTGCTACTAATTATGCTGGGAGAACAGGCATATACTGGAGATTGTCCCGCAAAACTGGGACATACAGTCATCCTCTGTTGTAAACAACAGAGTTAACTTACTCAAGTTCAAGCTGAGCTTCCTCAAAACATTGAAAAGCGATGTCTTAGATTTTTTGTTGTTGTTGAGATTACACACAGCAAAACGTACACCAATTCAACAGTTTCTATACATACAATTCAGTGACACTGGTTACATTCTTCAAGTTGTGCAACCATTCTCACCCTCCTTGTCTGAGTTGTTCCTCCTCCATTAACATAAACTCACTACCCCCTAAGATATCCATGTAATCTTTCGAGTTGCTGCTGTCAATTTGATCCCATATAGCGAGTTCTTAGAAGAGCATAATGCTCAAGGCAGACATTTCAATGTCTTAGATTTTTAAACACTTTCTTCTTGCAACTAGGACTTTCACCAAATGTTAACTGGAGTGATTAAGTACTGGCACTACTGAGCTGTACTCCTTAAAATAGATAGAAGCCAAGAAAGGAAAAAAACATAAACGTACATTAAGCTCAACTTTGGATTCCATGAGACGAGAGTGATCTGCACAATCCACCAGGAAGACAATTCCATTAATTGCTGGAAGGTAGTTTTTCCAAACCCGACGTGCTAAAAGACAAAGTTTGCAGTTGCATCAATTTAAAATGTGTGTGTGAAAAAAAGACCAGACTTACTGGCCCGACAGAGACAGGAGAAACCCCGAGAGTATGGCCCCGGACACCCTTTTAGCTCAGTAATGAAGTCACTCCTGAGGTTCACCCTTCAGCCAAAGATTAGACAGGCCCATAAAACAAAACGAGACCAAAGAGGTACATCCGCCCAGGGGCAAGGACTAGAAGGCAGGAGGGGACAGGAAAGCTGGTAATACGGAACTCAAGGTCGAAAAGGGAGAGTGTTGACATATCGTGGGGTTGGTAACCAATGTCACAAAACAATATGTGTATTTATTGTTTAATGAGAAGATAGTTTGTTCTGTAAATCTTCATCTAAAGTACAATTAAAAACATAAATGTGTGTGCATGTATACGTATGTACACATAAAATGAATAGCCTAATGGTCTATAAAATGGGCAAATACTGGCCAAGTTTCAATAGCAATAGATTAAATATGGATTCTCCAAGTCCTAGCCAATATTAAGTCAGAATAAAGCATGCAAACTGATGGCCCATGCCCTGAATCTGGTTTTTTAAAATATGAAAATGAGGACTTCCGCCTTCCTTGAAAAACTGTTAACATTTGGCAATCCCATGCCTATATACCCACACGCCAATAATCAGCCGGAACTGAGCGATGGCTGTCCCTTTAGATGACATCTGGGTTCTTCCGTCTGCCCAAATTCCCACCACTCTCTACTGTCTTATACACAGTCAATGTCACTCATTTAAATGACCTATCTCACCCTGAGCCATTTTAGTTTGCAGTCCCTGAGTTAGAACATCAGGATGCAAAGTGCTGTCCTTATAACTATAGTCCTGAGTTAGTTTCTAACCACCAGTGTGCGGATGTGCTGACACACTCACTCCTTCAGCCCTCAGCGCACTGGTTGAAGCCTCCAGGCCAGCCATTTCAGCTTCCTGTATTTTATCCAATGTGCCCTATAAATGTTATTTTTAAATATGTGACACGAAGCGATAAATGCTGGGAAGCAATGCTTTAATCATATTGTAATTTCTAAGTCATTCATTTTTAATTCTTTCAATGGGATGAATAAGGAAGCATCTATACACTAAACAATTAATGGCTACCTCTGAAAAGCAGACCCGGCGAGGGGAGGCTGGGGGAACTTTTACTTTTACTTTTCATATTTCTATACTGACTGAATTTGCTACATTTAGCCTGTACTGCTTTTATAAGTAGAAGTAAAAAAGGAAATTTTGCGATGTACAGCATTTTAGTAACTTCTGTAAAATGGCAGCTAGATTATTATGAAAAAGTGTTTCTGTTAAGTAAATTTTCCTAGGTCAAAAAAACAAAACAAAACTATATACATCAACACATTTCCCTCCTACTCTAACAAAATCTGACACTAAATTTATCACACCGAATAATCACCAATTTCCAGTTCAGATATCTAAAAACATTTACTCATTCTGCATTCCCCACATGGTCTCAGTTCAGCTTATCAGTGTTTTGTCCTGCTCTGAATTTAAATTTGTAAACAGTCACAAATCCTTTCGAAGACAAAAAGATGCCATACTTCCCTTCTCACCCAAATGAAAATAATACAAACACCACGTAATAGAAAAAAGAGACAAGATCACTGATAATTACTCCACCAAAACACACCCACTGTTAATATTTTGGTATATTTTCTTCTAATCTTTTTTCTATACAGATATTTTATGTGATTGTGATCATACTGCATACATGATTTTTCCAAGACATAAATATTAAATGAGTAAAATAAACCTAATACATTAAGGAAATCATTGAATATAAACTAGAAACTGCCAATATTCTATCTTTTTCAAACTACATTAGATTCAACCTAATAAATGCTCCAAAAGTGGACTTCTTAACAACAAATTAGCACATCAGACGGAATCTCAATAGTTTCTTTTCCCACCTTCCCAGAACATTTATTCCCACATCTTAAATGTTTTACTCCTAAGTCTACAGTCTTGCCAAATGTAAATTGAGTGTAATCAGATAAAGATGTCCCATTCTGAATATCTCTAAAAATATACAGTTAAGTCTGAACAAGATACCTGAATAGAAGTCTGGGAACCAAATGGACACAGCCTGAGTAAGGCAAAAAACACTTACGAGGAGAGCAAGAAGGTGGAAGAAAATGTTCCATCAACTGCCCCAAATGGGCAGAGTATACAAAATATCAAATTAGATCAGAGTGGTCACAAGGAAAGGACACAAAGTTGATATCCTACATACCCCCACTCCACTGAATAAAGAATACTAAAGAGACATGCTAACTAAATGAAATATGTGATACCGTACTAGACAGACGCTGTTCAAGAGGAAAAAAATACTATAAGAGACATTGGGGCAATTAACAAAAAATATGCAAACACCACAGGGTAGATAAAAGTAAAACTTCCTGAATTTGATAACTATTATGATTATATAAGGGGAAATTCTTGTTCTTAGGAAACACACACTAAAGTATTAAGGACATGATGTACTCACAAATGGTTCAGAAAAAATAAATATGAATATGTATCATATATATACACACACACATACATGTATGATAGTTGTCATCGAGTTGACTCCAACTCATGGTGACCCCACATATACCAAGCAGCACTACTCATGAGGTTTTGAAGGCTGTGACTTTTCAGAACCTGATCACCAAACCTGTCTTCCAAAGTACCTCTGGGTGGGTTTGAACCACCAACCTTTTGGCTGGTAATCAAGCGCTCAACCATGTGTGCCACCCAGGACCCCCTATATATAGAGAGAGAAACTAATAAATCTGTGTTAAGGGCATAGAGGAGTGGAGTTCGCTGTATTATCTTTGCAACTTCTGACACGTTTGAAATTAAAAGTAGTAAGTGAATTAAAGAACTTTATTGAAGTAATAGGTTATCTGGAATGAAAGTGACTAGAGAGAGAGCACAAACGACTATAAGTCAATACCATCCTTCACTCAACTGTCTCTTACCTTGCTCATGCCCACCAAGATCAAAAGTTGTAAAAGTCATTCCAGCAATTGTCAGCTCTTCTGATGCTGAAAAATTGTCAAAAAAGAGGAAAGAAATAAACTTCTCAATTCAACAAAGGTCTAGCTACCAGTATTATAAGCAAATACCAGTATAAAAAACTTAATGAAACTTTCACCTTGTAAAGAAAAGGATACACAGGTAAAAACATTCTTAAATTATTCTAAAAAGCCAAGAATTTTTTTTTCTCCAGGGTGTCTGCTGCTCCTTTGAAGGAGATTCTGGAGATGTGTTCTTTATAGGACTAGTGAGAACAGATAATGACCAAGTTCCAGAGATTTAGATTGATGAGTATGTGACCCAAGTATTTCCTACACTGAACTTTTTCAAGTGAGCTGTCTTTTGGGACATCAGTTAATAAAAGAATTGCATAAACTGAGGATTCATCCCCCAAGCCTGAGAATGACTTGCAAATATCAAAAGATCTCCTGGTATTTTCAAACCTACTCGGATGTAGTGTTGGAACATGTTGGCCCAATCTATCATCTTTGAGCATGTGTAGAAGAGTGGTTTTGCCTGCATTGTCCAAACCCAAGAACACAAGTTTTCCAGATTTCTTGTAGAGCCCTAAAAGAGAAATTAATTTAAATGTAATTTAGCTCTCTATATACCAAAGGCTGCTTGTATTTAAACTGTTTGAGGAAATGCAAAAAGTTTTAATCAATGATGTATTTCAAGAAAATGGCTTTACCTAGGAACTGGAGCACACTGCTGAAGCCATTGTAGATCCACTCAAAGATGAAAGACATTATTAATGCTTACTACCTGTATAAAATATGAAAGCACCAAACATTAGCTTTCTGAATGACAGTACAGTTTTGGAGAAGTAAACTCTCACCCCCTGGCTCAGATACATGTTTACAGTCCCAGGTTTTCTGACATAAGAAAGCAAAGGAAAGAAACTGAAGATTTCCCTTCCCTCCTGAGACTTAAGAATTTTTTACGCTGGTGGGAACCCTCGCGGGTCCTCAGATCTGCACAAATACTGGTTTTCTAATCTCCAACAATCTATGATACTCAAAGGACTAGAAGTTAAAGATATACTTTCCTCTTTTACTGCATGACTCACTCTCCCAAGCACCTGTTCATTCACATTCCCTATATACATCACTGCCATCCACCAATCAGCAATATCTCTAGAAAATTAGTCGCATCAATAATCTGAATCAAAAAGCCACAGAGATGCTGTCATGGATTGAATTATGTCCCCCAAAAAACGTGTGTCAATTTGGCTGGACCATGATTCCTGGTACTGTGTGATTTTCCTATA